CGTATAGAAAACACACACGCGCGTGCACACACACACATGCACACACACACGGCTTTTCTCTGTGTCACAGCTAAAGCTAAAGCTTTGGCTCTTTCTCTTATAACTTACAGACTTCTAATTACAGCCCCTTACAGGACGGCCCCAAATTGTCTTACGCTCAAGACTTTAATGCTTTCTCCCATGAGCCAAAATTAACACATTTCTTAATTCCACCACATCTGTTCCTTAAGCATTCTTATACTGTTGTGGTTTATTAAACTATTTCTTATGTAAAGTTAAGTATTTTAAATAACTTCCATACTCAGACCAGTAATAATAATGACGAGGCAAGAGAGCTGTTTCCATCTTCATGGGTTTGCAGTGTGTGTGAATTGTGGTGTTGAAGCTGGTGACTATGTCTAGTGTCTAGTGTATCATCTGGACTGGGGACTGGGGCCCTTCTGAGCGTGGCCAGTCGGCAGTTCATCCTTCCCCGGCGTCGCAGGCCTGAACTGGGACAGGGCCTGCAGGGGAAAGGAGGCGGCACGGCCACACTAAGGATAAGCCTGCATGTGAACGTCAGCTTTATCTTTGGGTTTCTTCCTTAAGCACTGCTCAGATTCCTCTATGACCAGGGTGCCTCTGACTGAATATCCCGCCGCCGGGAGCCATGTAGGAACCGCAGTCACAGAGACAGTCAAGAGGAAGGCTCACGGAGCAGTCAGACAAGGGGCTGGATTCTGAGAAATGCCTAAAGTTCTTGGAGACTAAGGCGGACTCCAGCCTAGAATGTTTCAACCAGACAGTGTGATTCCCTCCTGCACAAGAGCAGTGGGGTCAAGGGCAGGGCCTTGCCACTGTCAGGGGCTCGCCCGCATGGGAAGGGGAGAAGAACAAGTGGGGTAGAGGATGAGATGCAGAAGACAGCAGAGAGACCAGGAGGAAGGAGCTTTGCACTGGGCGAAGGCGTCTGGGCAGGAAGCACGCTAGGGTTTGGTACAGCTGTGACAGGTGGCAGGCTCAGACCGGGGAGTGTGGCAGGGGAGGGGCTCGCAGGTGCAGCAGGGCCAGTCTGGAGGCTGCTCCAGGCCCTGGTCAAGCAGCTCCTGGCTTCACGGGGCCCAAAATGTACACAACTGACCCATGAACAATGCAAGAGTTGGGGTGCTGACTCCCCACAGCTGAAAACCTAAATGTAAATTTCCACCCCCAGAAACGTAACTACTCACAGCCTGCTATTCACCAGAAGCCTTAGGATATAAATGATGGGCAGGTTTTGCTGTTGTGTGTATTTATACTGCATTCTCAAAGTAAAGTAAGCTATGCTAAAGAGCAGGTTATTTTAAAAGTCATAAGGAGGAGAAGGGGGAGGAGGAGGGGGAGGATGAGGCGGAGGGGTGGGGGAGAAAAAGGAGAGGGAGGAGAAGGAGGAGGAGGAGAAGGGAGAGAAGGAAGAGCGGGAGGGGGAGGAGAGGGAGGAGGAAGGAGGGGTTGGTCTTGCTGTCTCAGGGTTGGTGAAGGCAGAAGAAATCTAAATAAATTGTTTGTTTTAGAAAGCTGTGAGGCTGGAGATGAAGAATGGCGTGCTTGCAAATTGATACTATCAATGACCAAACATTAGAATTTTGTAGTTAGCCATTTTAAAAGTTTAAAAGTGTTACTCACTTCTTAAACTTTCTCATGTTTTTAACTAGAAAGGTTTATGGCTGAAGGCAGCCGGTAGTTCCCTGGAGGAACCCCCTAGCTGATGGATATGCCTTCCTGAAATGTCGTGGATAACTGGATCGTGAGGGAAAGGGAAGCCTCTGGGAGACACTGGCTCCCTGGCTGGGGGCCTCCCCTCCTCCCTGGGCTCTGGCCACCTCCTGCTGATGTTGCTGGCGTGGGGGCAGGGGTTCTGTGCTGCACGAAGGCTGTGCGACCTTCTGGGACCCAGAACCGGCCCTAGCAGAGCCTGGGTGTGGGAGGATCCTGGCACCTTGGGAAGGTGTGGCTCTGATTGCCTGGGGTCTTTCTCCCACACCAGCTCTTCCTGGGCTCCTGGGAAGGCCTTGCCAGTGGAGAGAGAGCCGGTTCACAGGAATCTGCGGAGCCCCACAGATAACAGGCAGTCAGCCGGCTTCGACTCCATGTCTGCACAGAGCTCACTGTTGGCTCAGCTCATGGATGGAATCAAGCACCCTGGAGCCAGCCCCTGTGCCAGCCCACGAGAGCCGTGCCCGGGCGAGGCATGCCTGCCAGGGGTGTGAGTCATCGCCTATGGCCCAAGCCAGTGGCTGCACAGGGTGGGGCAGGAAGATGAAGATGCCACTTGGTAGCTGACAAGGGAACGTGTTTATGAGCCCCTGGGGACTGCTTCGGGGGGGTTCCAGAGCTTTTCTAGGACGATGCTCTGCCTGGGCTTGGGGTCTTGCAGTAGCGGGGAGGGCAGAGCCAGCCAACCTGGGCACACCCGACTGAGACCGGAGGGCCGTCTCCACCTGCCCCAGGCGCTTTCCCCTCACCCAGTGAGAAGAATTTCCATTCCAATATCAGTATTCAATGCTCCGAGCTGACTAAACAACTGGGTACTGGGGTCTGCACAAGAGGAAAGAAAGTCAGGCCAATGGCTGGGAACAAGGCCGGGAGAGCTTTGTGACAATATCTTGGAGACATGAAGACTCACTCCTGCTTCCCGCTCAGATAAGCCTGGGGCCCTCGGGTGCCACAGGGTCCCTGTAGAGCTGGCACTCCGCTGTCCTGTGTGTTAGAAGAGAGCCACCAGGGCCGGCCCACCTACTCTGTCTTCAGCACCAGGTGTGTCCCCGTGCGTGGTCTCAGAGGGCGCTGGCATTGACCGTGGGAAAACAGCTTGTTGTGAAAGGGCTGCAGAGCTCACAGTATCTCCGGAAACTCTTGGAAGGGAAACTATGAGAACCGTAAATGGTAATTACGGTAAGACACTTGTTATCAGTAAGTTAAATGTTACCAGTATTCCGTTATCCATCTTTATATTCTGTTTTAATGAGTGCAGCTATGGCCGGAGGGAACTGTCTGAAAGGCAGGGGTGGGAACAGGGCTGGTCCTTCCGAACTCCTGCCCCCTTACTGAGTCTGCTACATCCTACAAGGCAAAGTGCACATTTATTCTCCACAAGGCAGCTAGTTCTGAAAACATTGAAATATTTCTCTGGTTACCTAAAAAACACACGTTAAATTTGAAAAAGAAAGCTCATAGTGGTGATTTCTTGAATCTCCAAGAGTAAAGCTAACTTTAACTGGTCAATGGATTTCTATCCATTTGAATTTTAGCCATTTAAAAGAGAAGAAAGATACGGTTTAGGTTTTTTTCACTGCAAACTTTAATGGACTAATTTCCTCATTAACCTTTTCCATGGAAGGGAAGACAAGTTTAAGGCGCTGCTGTTTTTGAATTTCAGATGTGACTCCCATTCCAACTCCAGAAGGAACCCCTGAAATTGATGCTAAGATGGGAGCTGGGAGGCACCGCGCGTGCTGCAGGGCTCCTCAGCTTCAGAACCTGTGTCCGAGGTCACACAGCCTGGAGTCGCCGCTGGTTCTAAGGGAAGGTTGTTTTTACCACAGTGAACTCTATTTCTGGGTGTTCTGGAATCTTGGGGTTCATTGCATGTGGCTGCAGTGCTGAGCCCCCCAATTTCACCAGAAGCCCCCCTTTCTCAGTTTATAATGCATGCTGTTTTGATTTAAAAAAAAAAACCTGGATTATTATGTGCGCTCGCTATTCTAGTCTAAAACATATCTTTTGCTGGCCCCCTCTAGCTGTGGCAGGCCAGGTCTCACTAACGCAGGCCTCCATCACAACTGTTTCAGTACTGAGCGAGTGGTTTAGTTAAATATTAAAAGCTGAAAAAGCCAGTGCCCTCATACAAAGGCTGGGATGTAACAAAAGCCCATCAGGAGTTTTACCCAGGCCCTTCCTGGGCCTTAACAAGGCAATGAGTGAATTTTAACAGGACCCCTTTTATGATTAAACAAGTTGTCCTGGGAGTCAGAAGAAACTCCCCCGGCCTCAAACCCCTGTGATTAACAGGGGGCAGGATCACCCCAGCACCTGGACCCACATAGATTAAGTAGATTTACTGAGGCTTCAGGGGAAGGCTTTTCAGGACTCAGACCTTAGTTACAGATTAAAAGAAGTTAATCCCTTCTGTCTTTAGATGAATGTCCACTTACAAACAGACGTAGAGCTTGGTATATAAGCTCTGGAAACCTTTGTAATTTTGAGTTGGTTCCTGTAACTGGTACCGACATAAAACTCCCTTCCTCCCAGTTCATCCGCGTCTTGTTATTGGGCCATGAGAAGCAGCAGCCCGACCCTGCGTTGGGTCCAGGCACGTAGTCACGTTAATTGGTTCAGTACAATTATTTTTAAGTTGGTTTTATGAGAAAACTATCACTAAACTAATTATCAACTATTAAAACATTTTAAAATGTCTATTCAAAATCAACGTTAAACATTTTAAGTGTTCTCTTTCAGATTACACAGCGGTTCCTTCAGCAGGTGGTTCTAGTATGAGTCTCAAGCATGGGGTCTCTCGCCTCTTGGAGACGGTCTGTGGCAGGTGTAAAATCTTTCCGTGATTTTGACTGGTCTCTTTGAAGTAATAAATACCTGCTGAATGAAAAGTATTGTTCCTTGCTCATTTTTTTTTGTCTCAGAGGTGGAGATCTTCTTTAGGTGCACACACACACATACACAAACACACAAACACACACGAACACACACACAAACACAAACACCTATTAACACACAACACACAAACACACATACACACACATGAACACACATGAAAACACAACACACACATACGAACACACACAACACAAACATGAACACATATGTGAACACACATGAACACACAACACAAACACATCTGTGAACACACACATGAACACACACACATACACATCGCCCTCCTACTTGGGCTTTCTAAAGCTCGTCCAGAAGGAAGTCCACTGACCTCCCAGGTGTTTGGGCAGGAGGGCCCCCCACGCCCCACCCATTGCTCACAGGCACAGGAGGGGCCCCCCACGCCCACTGCTCACAGGCACTGGAGTCACTGTGTGGCACCAGGGCCCTGGTGCTTCTTCCAGGTCGGCTTCAACTCCACATCCCCACTCCCTATTGTGGGGTGTTGCCGGGGGAAGCGCTGCCCTGAGAGAAGCAGGGCTCTGGAAGGTGGACTGCCCCGCGCGTGGAGGGGATGCTGGAATTCAGATGTGGTCTGGTGGACTCGTTCCTGTGGCGAGATTGACAGTTACAGAGGAGTGCTCCCCAGTTTTAATTTTAAGTGTATAAATAATGTAGATCAAAAAACCAAAGCGTCTTCTCACCTGGGTAGCCTCTTCTGCCCCAGGTGGTGCTGTTTCTTTTCTTGTTGGCTGAGAGTAGGTGACCACAGACATTCATGGGGACGCTGCCCTGAGGTGGGACCTGGCCTGACCTGGCCATGGGCCGAAGCAGCACGTGGGCGTCACTTCCACCAGGTGCTACCAGGACACCATGGAGGCCTCATGGGCTTCCATCTGTTCCCAGGCCCGTCGACGCCAGCTTCTCCAGTGACCCTACGATGATACACTCATTTTCCTGGGAGTTTTGCCTTCAGAGGGAGGCCTTAGTGGCCTTGTGTAGTCACGGTCACTGGGACCTGGGGACAGATGGAAGCCCACCAGGCCTACACAGTGTCCTGGGAGCAGCTGTTGGAAGCGAGGCCATGGGCTGCTGCAGACTGTGCTCAGAGCACGGCTTCTTACCTGGGGCACCTGAGCTTTGACAATGACGGGAGGGAGAGGGCGAGAAGGATTTGTGAAGAACACATGTCCACCTCTGTTAGAAAGGACTTTGGTCCACTAGGGGCCTGAAAGACCAGGGCCTTATCTCACAGCTGCCTGAAGTGCCTGAATTCACCTGCATTTGTCCAGGAGATGGGATGCAGCCGCCCTCACTGCAGTGGGTCTACAGAGCTACCCTTGCCTTTCCTGGGCACCCAGGCTGGACACCACTGGTCCCTTCCATTGTCCCTGGCAATGGAGCTGAAGCTGCTGAGCTCGGAGTCCTGCACAGGGACCTCGTGCAGAGAAACAGCTGTCCCACCTCAGGCTGCTCCCCTGCTGTCCACGAGAGTTGCCAAAGTCGGCTGAGGGCTCTTTTGCCTTCTCTCAGCTGTGCAAAGTGGCAGGCAGAGGTGAGGTGAGGTGAGTCTGCACTCATCAGCCTCTGGAAAGCTCTCTGGCATCCCGACCTCCCTCCTGACAGAGTTGGTTTGCGCTATCTGAGAACTGTGGGATGTGCTGGAGGAGCTGGGCCTCTGTAGAGCTCTTCTATGAAGATTGTGCTGCAGCTGGACTCCCACAGTGTTTCCCCGTGACTGTGGAATGCCACCCTGGAGACCCTGCAAAGCGCAGCGGGACCCCTGAGGGAATGTGTTCTCTTTCCGGGTCCATGATGGGGTGTAGCTTTAAGGGCAAGAATTTCCCTGGCGCCATGATCCCCTCCCATCTCTCTCCATCTGGGAGATTCAACGGTTTATGTTTGAATTTTGCGGGCACAGGAAGAAACTAAACGTCACTCACTCCGGCGGAAGTTCTGAGGAACTCCCTTCATTGGCCCAGGGTCTTGGAGAAGGTGGGGGTTTCTCCCAGGATAAAAGTCCGTGCTCTCTCACCTGCGCTGGATTTCCAGCTTTCTGGAATCCCCTTCCACACTCTTCGTGGAGGTCCTTCTCTTCTTCTCCTTTCCTTCTCTTTTCTCTACATACATAAAATCTCCTTTCAGCAACACTTTTTTGGGTCTGATATTTTACTTTGCAAGCATACGATGCACCTGCAGCGGCCCCACCGCTTATTCTTTGAGAGGTTGGAGGCCTAACCCCACCCCCGGTGTTTCTCCGTGACAGTGGAACGCCACCCTGGAGACCCTGCAAAGTGCAGCGGGACCCCCCCACAGCGTTTGTCCCTGACAGTGGAATGCCACTCTGGAATGCAAAGTGCAGCTGGACCCCCGCGCCCCCACTGCGTTTCTCTGTGACAGTGGAATGCCACCCTGGAGACCCTGCAAAGCGCCTGCACCAACCGCCCAACATCGTCACCATCACTCTGTTGCACCTTCAATGTGTCTCCAATCCCTCTGATTTCCCGGGAGGAAAGGAGGCTGGAATGTAGAACTGATGTCGGACAGGCCTTGCATCACGATCTGCAGGAAGCTCAGGGCAAGAAATCCGGCCTTCACCTCTGAAATACGAGTATAAAAAAGAGAATCGTGCCCGATGCCATCCTCCCATGGTTTCACCTTCCCATTCCAGCAAAGGGGATGGCGAAAGCTCTTCCACTTTGGAACCTGGGGCAGGGGTTGAGATGGGGATGGGAGATTCCAGGGACTCACTATGGATTCTGGTGAAATACAGAAATCCTGCCCTGCCCCTCAGGGCAGCCAGACGTCATATGGGCAGGACACAGTGGGCGCTGATGGATGTGGTTTCCACAGGGCCAGAGCTTGGCTCCTTTGGGAGGTGTGAGAAGCTCTGGGGGCAAGAGCGGGAACCACCCCAGCAAGCCAGTTCCAGCATGGAGGACAGCCCCACACACGGGCCAAAGCAAGCTCAGCGCTCCCTCACCAGCTCAACAGAGGTGGGTACTGACAGAACTGGAGGCAGGCTTGGCTGAGCAGAAGCAAGCGGAGATCTCAGGAGGCTGTGTTAGCCGAGCCGCCGGTGGCGGAGAAAACAGGGGCATGGAGTTGGCTCCGAACGCCGGGGCAGCGTGGCACGCCGTGGAAACAGCCTTTCTACCGAAATAACTGGCTCATCTTCAAGGGATTCCAAGATGAGTTCCATTAATGGAACATTCTTGTATTTCATAGTATTCTACTCACTTTGCTTCACGTCGGACTATTCAATGACTGGCATCTTCCATCTGAGAGAAGATTCCAAGTGAATTGTAAGATTGATTCCACATGACGTGTCTCCTCTAAACCAACACTATTGCTCCAATTGAAGAAACATGCAAATAAGATTGAGAGCACATGCTAGTTTTCTTTTATCATGATTTATGCAGCAAATGGTTTTTAAAAATCATCTTTGGGGATTTAGAAAACATTCAGTAGAATTCTCTTTTTCCAATAAAATTTGGAGTAATTCTTTTTTTCTTTCTTTTCATTTTTTTCTTGAGACGGAGTCTTGCACTGTGCCCAGGCTAGAGGGCAGTGGCGTGATCTCTGCTCACTGCAACCTCTGCCTCCTGGGTTCAGGCAATCCTCCTGCCTCAGCCTCCCAGTGGATTATAGGAGCCCGTCACCACGCCCAGCCAATGTTTCGTATTTTTAGTAGAGACAGGGTTTCACCATACTGGCCAGACTGGTCTCAAACTCCTGACCTTGTGATCCACCCGCCTGGGCCTCCCAAAGTGCTGGTACCACAGGTGTGAACCACCGGGTCCCGGCCAAAATTTAAATTCTTTTGTGTCATTGAAGAACTTTGGGTGAGTCCAATTTCATGTGTTTCTATGATGTAGCAACCCCTTCATTATACTCAGAGGAATTATATAGTGCTAGAATTCCTTGATTAAAGCCACATTTTATTTCTAATTCTTTTTCATTTCCTAAGGTAGGTCTATGTCTAAAAGACCGTGCTGTGAGTGGTGATTGAGTCGAGGCATGCCCGTCTCTCTCTAGAGTCATCGAGCATGCCTTTTATCTCCCTCCCTCTCACCAGAACCTTCCAAGGACCATGAGATAATCTTGGGGGTTGGGGCCCACGTTTTTGCTTTGGTGTAGCCTGGAGCAGGGAGATCCACTAAGCCCTGCAGAAATCCAGCCGTGGCCAGTGTCTCACTGGTGCCCTGCTCTCAAACATCACCCGTGCACAGATGCACAGAATACTTGTCTACCCTCATGAACAAGGCAGAGAGGTCTTTCCCATCTCAGCCTGTATGAACAGTCTTCAGAACACAGTTTAAATGCCTTTCGGGTTTCTCGTGCCCCCTCCTCCTGCATCATCTTATTTCTGCAGGTTCCGTGGAGGCAGCTGCTGGAAGAAGCCCAGGTGCTCCCAGATCATGCACCCAGCTGTGTGCTGAGGTTAAATCACTGCCAGGGCTGTGTTCTGACTTCCCCTGAGAGCTCTGTCCTGTCGCCCTGCGGTGCCCTGAGAAGAGGGAACAGGGAATGCGACACCATTGACTCTTCTTGTTCCATAAACATGGTTTCTATCTGGAATTATGACATTGTGGGATTCAGGTACTGTCTATACACTTTGTCTCTTGTAGGAAATAATACTCTGATTTGGCCTCGTGGACTTTGATTTTTCTGATCAAACTAGATGATGAAATCTACATAGAAAACCAGACATCGAGACAAGAGTCCAAGATATTCTCAGCCTAAACAGACACAGTAAACGCATATTTATGTGTGTTCAGAAAAACAAACTCTGGTAACCATGTGCATAGAGAACTGAGTCAAATATGTTGTTGATTTTTTCACTTCCCGCCTATATGGCTCCGTATGTGATGTCTGTTTCTTCCACGTCATGACTGAAGGAGACCACCCAAATGTGCATCTTTTCCATCTTTTTCAAAGTAGATTTGGGATTGATTATACTAATAGCCATCATTTGTAGACATAATTTTAACATGCATTTCGTTTACACATAAATGCATTTTATGTGTCTAGACAATATTCTATGTGTGTGTGTCCAGAATATTTGTATTTCTATACACATGGCATGGTGATTACTAATAGGACAGACTCTGAGCCTGACTGCTTGGGTTCACATCCGAGCCTGACTTCGTACTTGCTGTGTGACTGTGGGCAATTCCGTTTACTTCTCTTCTTCAGTTGCCTCACCGTATAGTAAGGAGAACAAGAGCGCCAGCTATCGGGTGGGTGAGGGATTGACATGAGTTCCTGTTTCTAAAGCACTGAGAATGATGCCACAGAAGCCTGTGAAATTACACATACTGCCTCATTTCGTCCTCTTTCCAGCATGTTAAGTGATGTTATTTTCTCCTTTTACGGAAAATAAAGACTCCGAGGGGTGAAAGGACTTGTCCAATAGAATACAATGACTTTACTCTCCCAAGCCTAAACCCTCTCTGGCGTATTTCAACTGAGGAGATGTGAGGAAGAGTGTTCCGTGCACACAGACAGAGTTTTAAGTGGCTGTGGTCTCACACTCACTATCATCCCGCCATCCTCATCATCAGCAGGCCTGTGCTCATTGCTTTACTGTTTGTGTCGGTGGTCTAGTAGCTTTAAAATGAGCCCAGTACATAATCCCCTCACTCTCTCCCTGTGTTTATTTAGCATTAAATGCAGGCACCTTCTGGGGATAATGGCAGGGCAGTGTCGTCCTCACTGCCAGGGCTCCATCCTTCCTGTGTCTGCTATGTCTTCAAACGAACAGAGGTTTTATAGAATCCATTTCACCCGTGCCGCAGTGCATTCTAAGGACTCCGGAACAATGCCCTGCCCCACCTATTCTCCTAAGAGCACTGCTCCCCGGGGAATACCACTGTGAAAATGCCGCATTGCCCAAAGCAGTGCACAGACTCAATGCACCATCAAAACAACAACATAGTTTTCCACAGAATCACGAAAAACCGTCCTAAAATTTGTATGTAACCAAAAAAAAGAGCCTGAATGGCTAAGGCAGTTCCAAAATAAAAAGCTGAAGGCATCTCATTACCTGATCTCAAGTCATACTGCAAGGCTATTGTAAGCAAAACAGCATGGTATTGTGAAATTATTGCGTTCTCTGTTCTGTTCCACTGATTTATGAAAACAGACACATAAATCAGTGGAACAGAATAGAGAACCCAGGAATAATGTGGCATATCTACAGCCAACAAAAATATCCACTGAGGAAAGGACACCTTTTCGATAAACAGTGCTGGGAAAATCAACTGTCATGAGCAGAAGAATTTAACTGCAACTTTATCTCTCCCCATCTCAAAAATCAACTCAGATGGATGAAAGATTTAAATCTTAAGACCCAAAACTATTGAAATACCAGGAAAAAACCTAGAGGAAACTTTTCTGGACACTGGTCTAGGCAAATAATTCATGACAAAGACCTCAAAAGTGAATGCAACAAAAACAAAAAAAGACAAATGGGACTTAATTAAGCTAAAACTCTTCTTCACAGCAAAAGAAATGATTAGCAGAGTGTATAGAAAACCTGCAGAATGGGAGAAAATATTTGTAAATTATACACCCAACAGGGGACAAAAAGCTAGAATTTACTAGGAACTGAAACAACTCAACACCAACAACAACAGCAGCAACTGACTCTGGTGAAGAGTGGGCAGAGGACGTGACTAGACATTCTTCCAAAGAAGACATGCAAAAGGCCAACAAACGTGAAACATTCTCAAATCACTACTCACAAGAGAAATGCAGATTAAATCCACAATGAGGCACCATCCTACATCAGTGAGAATAGCTCTTACTATAAAGACAAAAACAACAGATGCTGGCAAGGAAGTGGAGAAAAGGGAACTTACACACCGTTGGTGGAAATGTAAATGACTACAACCCTATGGGAGATGGTATGGAGATTTCCCAAAGAACTAAAGATAGACCAAGCACCGAAGCCAGCAGTTCCACTGCTGTGTATCTATTTACCCAAAGGAAAATAGATTATTACATCAAAAAGATACCTGCACTCAACCATTTTGCAGCACTATTCACCATGGCAAAGATAGGGAATCAACCTACGTGTTTATCAACGGGCGACTGGATAAAGAAAATGTGACAGAGTGTATGTAATGTGATACAATTCCATATATATAATGGAATGCTATTTGGCCATAAAAAAGAATAACATCATGTCTTATGCAGCAACATGGATGGAACTGGAGACCATTATCTTAAGTCAACCACACAGAAACAGAAAGTAAAATGCTGCATATTCTCATTTATAAGTGGGAGCTTAATAATGTGTAAACATGAGAGTGTGGGATGCTAGACATTGGAGACGTAGAAGGATGGGAGGGGTGACGATGAGAAGCTACTCAGTGGGTGTAACGTACATTACTCTGGTGAAGGATACACTAAAATACCAAACTTTGCCACTGCACAATATATCCAGGTAACAAAACTGCAGCTGTGCTCCTTAAGTTTTTAAAATACATGTAAATTCTTGACATTATTATATATGTAAACAGAATAGAAATAGAAACAATAAACAAACGTTTCACGTGCTTTACACCCTGAGATTTTGGACTTATTATATTTGACAACCACAGAACATTTCTCAACATATCTGAAGATGACAAAGTTTCGAGTTGATAGTTTTCCACAAACAATCATAAACAGCGATTCATTAGCCATCACAAATACATTGAACTTACATTGTTTTCAGAGAACAGTGTTGGAAAGAGGAATTACTGTAACGTTTTCTATAAATTATAATCCCATCTGACACCACGTGGCTCCCTGGAAACATTACCCAGTGCAGGGTGCCAGCAGAATCCTCAATAGTACACATATTTTTCCCTTGTAAATGGTGACCCTCAAAAGGTCATGTCTGGATGTCTGCATCTTTGCATTTCTATGGAGCTCTGTTTGTTTGTTGATAGAGTTTAAAGGCACAGGTGTCTTTGTGTTTTTCTATTGTTTCCTACTCACAGCGGTGCATTGAACAAAGTAAGGCTGATGTTGCCCTTGTCTTCCAGGAGAAGGGGCTGTGGAGGCTGATTGGCTGATGAGCAGCTGATGATTGGCTGACGAGCCGCTGACGATTGGCTGACGAGCTGCTGATGATTGGCTGAGGAGCTGTGATGATTGGCTGACGAGCCGCTGATGATTGGCTGACGAGCCGCTGATGTTTGGCTGACGAGCCGCTGATGATTGGCTTTCGAGCCGCTGGCTGGGCTAAGTGCGCACTGCTCGCACTCGGACAGAAGCTCCCTGACTCTGGCAAGAGCAGGCTCTCCATCCTCCTGCTACGTTACATTCCTCCCTTGGAATTTTGAATAACTCTTTGTGACCTTTCTAATTCAAGGCCTCCACCTTTTTTCCCTGCTTTTTTACTGAGAGGAAATTCACACCCCATGCAATTAATGCTAAAGTGAGCAGTTTGGTGGCTTTTGGTCAATTTCCAACGTGTGCAACCATTGCCACTCTCTAGTTTCAAAATATTTTTATCACCCAAAGGGCAATCCCACACCCATTTAGCAGCCACCCCCAACCCCACAAAACCACTGATCTACTTTCTGTCTCTGTGGAGTTGCCCAGTGTGGACATTTCACATCAATGGAACCATGCAACAGACGTGCTTTCCTGTCGGATGCACCGTGCTTTCAGGTTTCATCCACGCTCTAGCGCGGGTCAGAGTTTCGCTCCTTTTCGTGGCTGAATAATATTCCATTGTGGGGATATGTCACAGTTTGTTTGTCTATTCATCTGCTGGGGAGCATTTGAGCTGTTTCTACCTCGACTGTGAATGGTGCTGCTGTGAACATGCATGCCCATTGTTTGACCTGCAACATTTTTGAAAGCTTACCAAAAGGAAACAATATCTTTGGGATCAACATTTAGTACAAGACATTATTAGGCACGTCATGTGAGAAACGGGATAGTTGGTTATATAAATGATGCTTTGGGCTTTGATGTTCATTATTAAACATCAGTGGTTAGTCATAATTCCTCTGGGATCTTTAAACTGCACTTGTTTTCTAAATCTTATGGTTATTGTGGAGAATGATATTTATGGTTGAACATTTTACAAGTATTAAACATGTAAACATTTCACTATGAATATTTCATCTAATGCCAGAAAAGCTATTCTGGGTCCTCAATGTCTGCAGAGACGTAGGACACACGTAGTAATGCTCAACTTTTATGGACATAACCTGAGGTTGACAACCTAGAAAATCAGATTTACCAGCTATTTAAACAACTTTATCTAACCAATGGAGGCTTCTGAAAATAACAGGCTGAGTAAACATACTGAAAAGGCACAGGAATAACCTTTATGCCATTTATAAAAATCACTGGGAGACGATATTCTCTTACTTCCTACTCCTAAGAAGAGACTATGTACACTTGCAAGATACTGTTTTATAACTCTGGTAATATAGACTTAGACTCTCTATTTGTTTTGCATTTATGGTTTATTTCTCTGAGTAGAACCTTCAAATTCCAAAATTATTTTCTTTTGATCCATGGGTTCAGAATTATGGCTATTAATTCCAATTGCTAAAGATATGTTGAATGAGTTAGAAGGGGGCAGCTGGTAAATATAATTCATTCATTTAAGTCATTGATTGTCTATTTAACGAACGCTAATTTGACTTAATCTCCAATGATGGACTAGATCCTTTGGTAGAGGGAAAGGACGCGGATTATCTCACCCCTGCTTGGATGTCAAGGAACTTATTATTTTTCTTTCTTTCTCATAGATACGTACAGATGGGTTTTCCACATTACAACATTACAGGGAGTGAAATGCTTATTCAGTAGCACACTTTATGCCATCCAGTGGGGGCAGAAAAAGAGGAAAATGCCTTTAGTGACATAAATGGCATCATCTTGGTTTAAGTGTAGAGAAGCCATGTTTGCAGGACTGAGCCGCGGCCCCAACAAGAGAAAAGTTAGCGGAGAAGACACTTGGAAGAGATTCACTATTCAAAACATGCACAGTCTATTTGTAGTCATTAGTCATGTCTTCTGCCATGAAACTACTTCCAGGAAGACGGCTCCTATATTGTCTTCAAAAACACGTGTTCAGGGACGTGCTTTAGAGAACGGACACTGCTGGTGGTATTGGTGCCCTTCAGTCCCTTAATTTCTGATCATATGTGCCTTGCTTAGAGACGGTGCGGCATCTGGGGAGCCCAGGGCTCCATGATCTGCACCCACGTGTTTGGGATTGCCCAAAAGGAGACCTGGGTTAACTCAGGTGGCTGGGGTTAGGGTGGATACGTTTTGTGTCATCTCAAGTTTGCTGTCTTTGCAGTCATACCTGACCTCAAACCACAGAGAAGCTATGTGGGCAGACGACATTCTATGTCGCTGCAGGGCAGTGGGTGGGAACATGCTGGACCCACGTGCTGAAACACGGCATTCGCTATAATTGGAGTGGAGACGCAGCTGGCTGTCTGAGGTGGGATTCCCAGGCGGTGCCAGCTGCAGACAAGAGGAATCACAGCTTCTTCTGAAGGAAAGAGGTCCACAGCACCAACCCCCAACCAGGGACACTGCCACGTTGGGTCCTGAATCGGTTCCTGCATCTGACAGAGGAAACATCTGGCTATGGGGGATCTCATGAGACGATGCCTGGAAGAGGAGGGACCCACCCTGCAGGGGGTAGCAACTTCTACACATCCACTGAGCCAGAGTGTGCGACTGAAAGCCCAGGTGAGCGAGGCAGGGTGTGTACTTGATTTGATTTCTGCTATCTGTAGGGGAGCTTCCCAGAGGAGCAACAACATAGAGTAAGTAAATTTCATTCTCACAGTCAAGAATCCCACTTCGTAAACCAGGGCGCCCACCCCACAGTCCAGGGTGCCCCCCCACAGTCCAGGGTGCCCACCCCACAGTCCAGGGTGCCCACCCCACAGTCCAGGGCACCCACTACACAGTCCAGGGCGCCCACCCCACAGTCCAGGGTGCCCACCCCACAGTCCAGGGCACCCACCACACAATCCAGGGTGTGGGAGACCGGCACATCTGCTGGGGGGTTTCCGACCAGCGGAGAGCCTCAGCCCCACTCAAGTGTTCTCAACCTGGAAAAGGGAGTGCGCAGAAGAAAAGACAGATAGACAGTGGGGTCTGGAGGACTGTCAGACAATGCCAGGACAGTGAGTTTATTTGTGCACACTACAGTTTACATACATTTCAGTGCTTGAGGAGTGATGTACATTCCATTGTATTTTAAAATAAAATCAAGAACAAGAATCACAAGAAAAGGGGTGCAGAAAGTATGACTCATAATCAAAGGGTGTACAGCAAAGGGACAATAAAATTTGCAAAAAGGGGGTCATAAATCTAAACATGTGCTTATCTAAAATCAGTCAAGTAAGCAGGTTAGATCGTTAACAAGGTACAGCTGGAACTTGCCAAATGTCATTCTAAATAGAGATACCCTTTGCCTATTCTTATAGGATCACATGCAAACAATATGAGTGAGTTAGCAGAAGTAACCAAAGTCATACAGTTTTGTGCGGAGTAGGAACTAGGAGGGACACAATGTCTAACCACACAATGTCTCGTTAGACCACAAGGCCTGAGCTCAGCCATCCTGTTGCAAATGTCAGAGGCAAAAATAGGTGCTTACAGAATCAGTGCAACCAGACTTCCTCTTTTCCCCTTAGCTCAGCAGCCCCCAGGAGAGGAGAAAGGCGTATGGGCTCAAGGTCAAGATGGCGAGGGTCCTGTAAGGGTCCCTTGCAGGAGCGATCCCCACACCAGGGTGCCCACTCCACAGTCCAGGGTGCCCACTCCACAGTCCAGGGTGCCCACCCACAGTCCAGGGTGCCCACTCCACAGTCCAGGGTGTCCACTCCACAGTCCAGGGTGCCC